AGGCGCGTAGTGGTGTGCAAGAGGTGCTCCCCGTCGTGTCGCCGCGCCACCATGCCATCTGGAGAGGAAATCGAGTGTGAAGTACAGTATAGTTTGGGACCAAGCTCCGTGGCAGCAGCTCAGCAGTTAGTTCATTAGTTCCAAACTTCCAGGGATTAGGAGAGAATCTCTATGGCAGGGGAGGCAGGGGGGAGTCAAGAAGGATGGAGGGACTCATGTGGGGAAAAGAGAGGGAGAAACAACAGGAGGAATACTGGACCATAGGGCACTAAGAGACAGAGCGAACACAAGAGAGAGAGATAAACAATCTTAACCCTGAGGACCCAGGAGAGGAGAGATCTGCAAGGGAGAGGCACAATGAAAGAACAAGACGGCAAGGGAGCGAGGAGGAGAGAGGACAGGTGTAGCCGTCAGTTCCGCTCTGGGGTTTCAACCTGCCCTCCCTCTTCCTCCACCCCACTGATCATACAGATATGATGATATGTGTAAGAGTGTTAGAGCAGTCAGCCTTGTCTTCCCTCCCTTCTCTCCTCCTCCTTCTCTCCCCTCTGGGTCCATGGTGACAGTTAGCAAGCACTGGGTGGCTCCTACCCTTTACTCCCTTTCTCATCTCCCTGCCTCTTAAGCAGCCAGCATTACTGCCAAGATGGAGTGCAGACATTTTTGGAGTCAAAGCGACAGGCAATTAAAGCAGGCACTCCTGGATTTCAGTTTTCAAGGAGAGGGGGTGGACTGACCTTCATCACATACCTTTTTGTCATGAATATCCTTCCCTGTTTTAAGGTGAAGGTGAACGATAATGAAAAGAATACATTAATGAACACATAATAGGAGGGTGGTTTTGAGCAGTAGCCCCATTAAAGGCCGATGTACGCATACCCAGTAACTAACCTCGCGTTTCACCTAACCCATTGTAGCCTTCACCAAAACAGTGGTTCAGGATGGCATTTAGCAAGCTCAGCCTCTGCTTTGCTCCCATTCTCTCTCCCTAGGAAGCAGCAGACATGCATTAAGAGACTATTGTTGAGGCCTGGCATCTCTTGGCAAACACATGGTGCCGACTGTGCGGTTGTCATGGTGAATATACAGTGGTGTGAAAAAGTATTTGCCCCCTTACTGATTTCTTATCTTTTTGCATGTTTGTCACACTGTAATGTTTCAGATCATCAAACAAATTTAAATATTAGTCAACGATAACACAAGTAAACACATCATGCAGTTTTTAAATGAAGGTTTTTATTATTAAGGGAAAACAAAATCCAAAACTACAAAGCCCTGTGTGAATAAGTGTTTGCCCCCTAAACCGAATAACTGGTTGGGCCACCCTTAGCAGCAACAACTGCAATCAAGCGTTTTCGATAACTTGCCATGAGTCTGCCACAGCGCTGTGGAGGAATTTTGGCCCACTCATCTTGGCAGAATTGTTGTAAGTCAGCCACATTGGAAGGTTTTCGGGCATGAACTGCCTTTTTAAGGTCATGCCACAGCATCTCAATTGGATTCAGGTCAGGACTTTAATTGCAGCCATATACACTGTAGAAATTGACAACTTTTCAGTGCAAATGCACTACAATGTAAAAGCTCCCATTTATTTACAACATTACATTTCTAATTTCAGTTTGTTTGAGATGCACTGTTTTCTGTGACTACTGCCCACCTAAAAATCATTAATGATGTTTTCTCTGCATCTGATAGTGGTAATTTCACAGAAGCAATATTCATGAATCTCACTAGAGCTTTTGAGCTAGTGGATTACTACCTTCTTTTAGATAAGTGGCCTTCTGTAACATGCATTATTGTGGTTTAATAGGTCTTCATAATATAACACAATGTGTTGTTGTACAAGGGTGTAAACTTGAATGCTAACTCAAGAACAAAAAAGTGTGCCTCAAGGTTCTACTTTAATTAGGACCACTTCTGTTTTATGTTTATATAAATCATCTATCATAAACTTAACAAAGTTCAGTTGTATGCAGATGATACCATACACCAAAAGTCTCTCCTTTACAAATAGAAAGACACTTTGCAATTTTATCATTCTACAGTCTTTGTCACCTAACAAAGTATTGCACAATATAACTAATGTATATAATGGTACTGAGTACAAGACAGAACCTCAAAAGCAAGTCAAATTCTCTAGTTTTAGCTTATGATAGTACATAATAAAATAAATGTGTAGGGCACTTTACCAATACTAGACTAGGCTAACACAATCTTCTTCCTCTCAGTGTCATATACAATAGAATTGTATGGGAATGTTCACTTTACACACCACTGTACAATACTCGACACCCTCAGCTGGCTCTGTCTTGGTACAACTTGACAATTTCATTGGTTCATTTTTAAATATGCTCAATAATTATGTGTTTTGCTTCTTTGATCAGCACCACTTTCCATTCCTCTGATGTTTAGGACTTATCTTTATCTGACTTGTTTTAAAATGTTTTGTCTCAACTTAAAACTAATTGGATTTGCTTTAGTTACGCTATCACTGCTAGTCTACAATTATTTCTATAATAGTGTCTACTCAAATGTTATAACTTTTCTATTTTTGTTCTTGAGTCGATTGCTTTCTCTTTTGCATTCTCCTTTGAAAACGAGATAATACATCTCAAAGGATTTATTCTGATATAATACTAAATTAGATATGTTATAGTATTTACGATTCAGTTGGTCCCAGAACAGAAAAGCATGGCAAAATGACCACAAATTATTGCCAGGGGCATTAAAACTATTTTTCCATTTAGCTAAGCATTTACTATGACATGGAGATGTCAACATGCCCTTCTGATCTGCATGAAGTGCCACATTACATGACATTAATTTGGCAGGTGGTTTTGGCAAAGCTATTTACAGTAAGTGTATTTAAAAAAAACACTGTTGTTAAGAACATCTCTGCAGTGACATCTTACTGCATGAATTATTGTGTTACTTAAGTATTTCATTATCTGAAGTTGTCTCAACACTTGCTGCTCATTTCTGTGAAATTCTCCCCCTGTCCAATAAAACTGTTTGCAAATATGACAGTGTCTACACAGGCAGTGTAACGAAAGCTCTACATTCACAGTAGGGTACAGGGTACACAGGATGCATTCAGGCACAATGCTGCTGTGCAGGTCACTTACACTTTGGCAGTGCTAAGAGCCCAACACACAATCACTGTAGCTATGTGCATAAATGACCTGGTCTACAACAATTACACAGTACGAAACGAGCCGTTATGCAGCTTTTGTACACAGCTGTATTAATATAGAAGCTCTTGTGTGAGGTGGAAAACAAATATGCAGCTTCTAAATAAGCTTTTACACTTTGTCACTAGGATGTTTCAAACATTTACAAACTCAACCATCATGTACTGTGGCCATTTGTATAAATTTCCATTCCATCACTCCGTATTCCACATCTCTTAACAGAAAACCCTAAAATACATATTGCATGACTCCAAGTACACAACATCTCCTGTACAGAAGAAATGTAATAAACACAGACAAATATAAATGACTGTTTAGTGCCTAAAGAGGGATTGCAAATCCCTAGTACAGTAAATATCCCATGTGTATGCAATAAATGAGACAAAGAAAAACAAGACATTTTTGGAAATGGAAAAGTTGATTTCAAAACATTAAAATTAATACCTAAAATAAATGTCTTAGTAGCATTGCCAGGCAACCTCCATACACACAGAAACACACACTAAGTACTGTTGATCCAACAAGAAAAAAAAAAATCATCTTAAGGGAAGGTATAACTACACAACAACCCCCATGGTTTTCCAATTGCCACAGAGGAGAAAGAAGCTGAGAGTGTGGGAGGTAAAGAAAGGGTGCCAGTAGGAAAGGTGCATTTTGTTATTGAGTAAATAACTAATTTTTATATTACACAGTATGACCTAGCAAAAACATAATAGGTTACAGAATTTTTGCATGCTGTGTCAGACTCTATGGTATCAATGAATGGCTGAAATCTGTTCTGATCTTTGTACCATGTAGCACTGAAGTAGCTACTTCAGTAATGGGATCATAAGGCAGGTAACTACTGGAGGTATATTTCCCACTTATTGTTGATACTTTGATCTGCATTATTCAGAGTGCCTTAGTAGAAGGCAGGGTGGTAAGCCTGCTAAAAGAAATGATTCTGCATAAGGAAACCTGAACTACTCTGTGGCTAATGTCATTTTCCCCTTTGTTTTAATAGTACATACATACTATCCCCTACATGTATAATTTGCCAGCTAATTACTAGGAGAAAAAGACCCCTGACAAGGACAAAAAAAAAATCATTCTAAATTTAGAAAAGGTCAAAAATACCATGTTTTATGTGAAATTCGTGGGTTGAGGCAAAATACATCTGTTGAAATAAAATAGAGACATGGACCTGTCACATGCTGACAGCTCAAGACTCTCCTCAAGCCTGAATGGCTGCTTCAGTGCTGCATTCCTATCCACATTTCCCCTCAAACACATAATAAAGATAGGTCTGACATCCACCAACTCCATCGCAGGGTCACAGTTTTAACCTGTCAGTCACACAGGCAACTTATTGTCTTTGTCGACTACAGGAACAGCCTCCAGCCATATCAATCATCTTTATTATCATGACTTAAAAACCTTTGTTAGTTAACTTTTTACCCAGGCCCTTTCTTTATCCCACTCTCCAATCACAATTTCATGGGGAGTTCAGGAGGGCCAATGGGGAGGTGGTGTAGGCGGGAGGAGAATGCTTTTAACCTGCTGCATCTGGTGCTTTCCCGCTGCTTGCCCAGTGGGATATGGTCACCTTGTTTTAAAGGACTCAGATAGGGGGGAACCACTGCCTTTATACCATCATAATGGGGTGAAATGTGCTTGTTTTAAACATCTCACTTAGGTAGTTTTCCTTTCAATGATTAAGTACAAGCACCTGTCTGAAGCACAGCTGTGTGTGTGTGTTTGTGTGCTCCTTGCTGACCTGTTCATATGAAGCTGCATATGTGCATCTCTGTTTGTTTTTTGTTTTTTTACCTTTTTGCTAAGGGCTACACCATCCTCGCAGTCCAAGACAGCACAGTCGACATCTAGTGAAGCTAGTTTCCTCAATTTTCGCTCATCATTGCCAGGGCAGTAGAGAACTGCCCTGCGGGGTATGTAACGCAGCAAGGGGCCTGCAGAGTGGTGGTGTTGACGCCATGCTTCAGTATACAACTGCCAGGCTGTGGGCAGGAGCCAACCGCTCTCCCTGTCAACACAAATATATACATAAATAAGTACACCACACAAATACACACAACACCAAGGCAAGGGAACCATAAATCCACAAAAACATGTCTCTGGTGCATACAGTACTCGAGTACACTTAGCATCAATCCAGGGATAAAGACAATGAGTAAATAAAAGGCTGTTGCCTTCATCTTCATGATATCTACAGGTTTTATACTGCACATAAAGATCTTGAAGGAGGCTGTATCCTCCGCACTAGAGTGAAAATCTGGAAATGTTTCATTTTGGGAGTTCTGTTTGCCCTTCAGCTGTTCATTGAAGTGGATGAGAGACATTGACCTGTGCTTTGGCACTCTTTGTTGAGAACAAACTCACCCAAACACTGAGCCACTCATATGCTAATGTTGCCACACTGCTGAATATCTAGGCGGGACAGAAAGTGAATGAGTAGGGGTTTCAGTAGTGGAAAATTTAGTTTAGTTTAGGAAAGACAGTGTATCTGTGCTGTAATTAATGTTTTTAAGGACAAATTCTGTACTTTTATTACTAGTATGTACACCATCTACTTTAAACACAATAGTTCCTTTAGATGGAAAAGCATAAATAAAAAGGTAAGCATTTTAAGATGTAAGGGGTTAGGCACAGTACACCAATGTAAATGCAGTAGTCAACATGCAGCTTACAAAAACATATTGCCAACATATTTTATTAATGACTAAATCTATGGAAAGCCTTTTAAATTCATTTCTGAGTAAGTCAGCTCAACAGCATATACATTTTCATTGCATGTAAAAACATGCAATAAACTCTATTAGGTTGTCATTTTATTTTTAGAAGCATTTGTCAAGCAGCACTGACTGAGCAGCTGTGTACTGGAACAAAATTAAAGCATTAATTTGTTGCACAACCTTAAACATATAGAGGTTATTTAGATAGATTAACACACTATGAAATAAAACACTGACTAATGCTACACCTACCTACTCATCATCACATCACCTACCTCTACATGTGCACTCAAATGTGTCAAAAGGCTCAGACACAAGCAGTGATGTTGGCTTGTGTACTTCCTATGCACACCCCCACATAACAGTGTACACCAGTAATTAGTGCACACGTGTCTTAATTATTTGTTCCATCAGTCTGGCTTCTGAAACAAATGGCCTTGATGAAGAGCTAAAAAGATCAGGTGGCTTCAAAAATTATTGAAACCCTTTAAATGATGTTGTGGCTGGAGCAGGCACTTAAAACCAATTCAGGTTTCTTCCAGGATTTTAGTGCTTCCAGATACACAGAGCCTATTTGGACTGTGGACACAAAAGTCTCAGGGAGCAAATATAGCAAAGGTCAGAGGGAGGACGATGGTACACCACCATGTAAATTGTGGACAAGTTAAATAGGTAAAGCCCACAATCATTTTAGGGACAAAAAGCTACAGGGTTCAAATTGATGAGGGAGCAAATGGAAAAATTTGAGAGAAAAATAGCAGGTAAGACGACAAAGGTGGAAGTGCTGAGTGGTAGGGAGCAAGAGGGGGCTGTTGAGCCCTAAATGAAAATCAGACTATTCTGTGCACAGTGCTCAAGGGGAAATGTTAAAAAGCCATGCTAAGTGCCCACTTAAAAGGCATACATTAGGTGAATATATTTTAATATAATTGAAGTACAAAAAGATAGTATTGTAATTTAAGAATAGGTTCCATTATATAGGAAGAAAGCTGAAAACAGGGAGAGGAAGTAAATGGTCAATAACACAGCCCAGAAGACTGCTTTTCTCTCCACAGTTCCACCTCTTTCCAGTTCTCAATAGGTCTGATTTTAGTAATAGGGTAGCTAAGGAATAAAGAATGGATAAAGCACAGAAGTCAAGTCAAGTTCTGTAATTATACAGGTAGATAACGGTAAAGATTTTGAGCAAACATACTGCCATTTTCAAAAACATTTCAGTTACTCCTTATAGATCATTCTTCCCAAGCAAATGAAAAAAAGGCAAAGGCTCCATTGAAAACCTAAGAAAAGTTCCAGGTCCTGGGAAAGGAATGATAGGAAAAGTTTACTTTAATAGGGTAGCTAAGGAATAAAGAATGAATAAAGCACAGAAGTCAAGTCACGTTCTGTAATTATACAGGTAAATAACGGTAAAGATTCTGAGCAAACATAATGCCATTTTCAAAAACATTTCAGTTACTCCTTATAGATCATTCTTCCCAAGCAAATGAAAAAAAGGCAAAGGCTCCATTGAAAACCTAAGAAAAGTTCCAGGTCCTGGGAAAGGAATGATAGGAAAAGTTTACTTTTAACAATATGGCAAGTAGTGTGCACCTAAATTATCAATATCTTTTTACATAGCTAAAATCCTTTTCATTAGTATTACTATACCTTTTTAAAACGCAAAATCTGTTGGTATATAGGTGATATACAGTATACAAGTATGTCTAGTCAGTACAAAAAGTGATCACATCAGTAAGTTTTCTTTTTATTTAACAGATTTACTTTCAGTCTGATAAACCTGGTGATGTTTTAGAACTTTAAGCAATTTCTATATGAAATGGTAGTATATAATATTTAAATTTTCTCGTAAAACCCCAAAGGAGATGCTTGCATTATCCATAAATGTCACAATCTAGTGGGGAGCCAGGCATCACAATCAAATCCACATCACTCCTGTATACCACATACAATCTGGACATTTTTATTTACACCACATCTGTTTGACGTTCCCTTTATTGGATCACTTATGTTGTATACATTTACCAGTCCCCAAAGTACCATATGCACCGAAGTTACCAGTTTCTTTTCCTCTCATTTCTTTTTCTTGCTTTCTTTTTTTATATGAAAAGTTAAAATAACACAGGGCTGTGTGGCTATATTAACAGCTGTGAAGTGATGGGATCTGGGCCACAGTGACAACATTTGCTGGTCTGAGATCAGAGGTAAATGTGTTAGTGGGTTTGCTGGATTGGACTGGTTCTCATTAGCAGAAAGGCAGCAGCAGACCCAGGCCTAGAGGCACTGACGGGGATAGAGGAGTAGAATATGGTGAGAGGCTGTCAGGTTCTGTGACAGCCTTTCTGAGCCGTGCACATTAGTCTTCCAGACCCAAAAGTACAGTGTGTCATATTTGGACCTGCCATCTAGCAAGTGATTATTGTAAATAGCCACAAGTCATTGTTCTTGGAAGCTTTCAGTTTCTTCTGTAAAGCACTTCTCCATGCTGGCTGAGCAGCATTTTACATGCAGATTTGTGTCCGTCTTCCTCCTACACCAAAGAGTGTCTTGGACAAAGCAGTTCACTGGCAGAGAACTACCAACTGATCTTCAATCCAACAGAATAGCCTCTGATGATCTGACGCTCACCGTCAGTGTCTCTAGTGTCCAACTACAATAAATTTACCTTGAACCACACATCTTATCTCCACCACTCAGACAACTATGTCACTTGCTTACCATATTCAGCTCCTGCTTTCCCCAAGTTTCATCTTCTTAGTTCTGAAATCCCCTGTCATGTAATGCAGACAGGGTCGCCAGTATTTCTCAAGGTAAACAGTAGGTCAGTAAGAAATGACAAAGTATGGCTGAGATCTGGGAGTCCACATACAGGTTTAGTCTTGTACGAGTCCTGTTTCAGATTACGCTTCTCACATCTGGAGGGGTTTGTGAACATGTAAAATACTATCTCAGAGCTCTTTCTTGTTTTCTGGGAACTCATAAGTTTCTATCAGTTATGGCCATCAGTTATGGGGTGGAAACCTCCAAACATCAGACTGTAAAATATACGATTTTTCATGGGCATCAAGAGAGCTGAAATATTTATGATTCATTAATTTCCCCATTTTCCATAACAAGTTATTTTGTTAAATGATTTAGTTGAAATTAAAGATTATTTTTAAGTTTCATTGCTAGTACTTTTCAACAAAATGTCATTCATTTAAGTTGCTAATAATTTCCTGTGTTTGGATGAATATAAAAAAGTAATGTTTTCAGAAGGGAAACTTTTGCCTAAAATTTAAAACTTGGAACAGAAGGCAAAAGTACTTTGTTTTCACTGAAATGTTAGAGTGCCGTAGGGATGACTTTTTTTTGTAGCCCAACCCAGACATCAGCATCACCCCGTCACCCTGATTCCCTCAACAAAAAGCCGATGGGTTTTCCCCATAGGATATTGCTTTATTGCAGAAAATAAGATCTGTGAAAAATATCGGCCTATGACACTTACACATTTTGTTCAGCCAGATAATTGTCACAAGTGAACACCACTTGTGATTTGTGAAGCCCAGATACAATCGCCAGAAGTAAAAACTGTTGGGCAATAAACGAAATACACCACGATCACACAACTTCAGGGTCAAAACTATGGCTTCCAGCTCGTGAAGTGATTTAGCATGCTCACCTCTTCTACAAAATCCTTCTCTCTTAGCGTGACGTGATCTATAACAATCATGGCTGTGTCAGCTAGTTAGAGTTTGCAAGTGCATGAGTTTAAAAATAAGGCTGTAAAGGCAGATTACTGCGTAGTTGAGTCTCTGTGATTACGTTTAAATATCCCAGACAGTTTCATTTAGCCGCTTGTTAGCAACAGTCTTTTTAGATATGCAAAAGCATTTTAAAAAAACACACCTGGGGTATTTACTGATACATTTTATTTCATAGAACAAAACCTGAAAATAGATTGGCCTTGTGTTAAACCACAGATACCTATCCAAAAACCCATTGACTTCAGGGTGAGGAAACAAAGTACAGAAATGTTAACTCAGTTCTAGGTTTTAGGACATTACTAGGGCACTCACTTAGACATTATGTTCTTGCCTGACAAATGTTTCATGACTTTTTGGTTCTCCTACAGTCCGCTCCTGCAGCTTTCGTAGTATCATCCCCATGAAATTGCCACTTGTATGTGAATGACACAATAAATAACATAACTAACAAACTAATTAAATGCCTCAGCTGCAGCATACAATATATTAAATTTTGATGAATATTTAATTTGACATAAGATGACTGACTGTGGTCTGGCAGTCAA